GGGAGAGGCTGCGCCGGCGCTGGCGCTGGCGCTGGCTTCGGCTCCCCCATCCTGCGCCCGCTGACATCCCTCTCCCACCTCGCACCTGCAGGATAGCAGGATGTTTCTGAACATGCGCAGAGTGCCTCTCCCTCGGCACGGACCAGCCCGGGTTTGCGTGGCTGATCTGCGACCCACCGTTTCGGCCGGCTGGAAGCTGCTGCCGCGGCTGATTCGGAAGCCTAACGGGATGGCATGAGGAGCGGCGGCTGATGGGCCGGGGAACCCTCAACATCCGGAGGTCGGACCTGTGTCAACTCAGTGCGCTTCGAGCAGCTCTGCAAAGTAGACGGCCCGAGCCGAGCCTTCCGTCCTACGGGCTTAGAATGTCCTTTGAAGGGATCCATCCACACGAAGTACCGCCGGGGGCTTCCTGCTGGGTGACCCAAGCAGGCTTCGGCCCTAAGCGGAGAAACGGGGTTCGGGGCTGTGGTGGGCTCTCCGAGCTAACGGGGTGGGGAAGCAGGCCGAGGATCTGGACACCCCCGCCCCAACTCGCTCTGTGGCTGCCTAGAAGGCTCTGACAGGACACAGCGCCTCCCCAGGAGGAGATCGGCTGCGGGCCCTGGCCGGCGCTCCTCCCTTCTGGCCTTCGAGGCCAGAACTGGTCGCGTCCCCGCCGGGGGCTCCAAAGGGCTCCCCCCTGCTCCCTTGGTCAGCCCCCAGAAGCCTTTCAAAGTTGCTTCGGCCAGGGCTGAATTGGGCCTCCGTGGCAATACAACACCCGCCTCTCCCTCAGCATCGAGCGAGAGGTGTGGAAGCGACAAGGAGAAGCGTAACTCCCCCCCCCGCGCATCCGTCCCCTTTGGACACACCGTCTGGGATCCGTGCAAAAACTTCTCCCACGTTCTTTTGCTCCCTGCAAAGTTGGAAAGCGCTTTTCGGAAGCTCCCTGGCGCCCTCCGGTGGCCACAAGCCCTCAAAAAGACTGCTCTCCCTCGCGGGGTCGGGCCCTGGCCTCGAGGCTCCTGCACCCCAGAATAACTAGGGTTGAATTTGGCCTGCATGCTTGAACGGAGCTCCTTCAAGAGCTGAGATACCAAAAGGGAAGCTGAGGCTCAGTGTGAGACATCTGAAGGAAAAGCTGGCACGTTCCAGCCGGCCTCAGCACTTGCATGCTATAGCCAGCCTCTCGCTGTAATTAACTTTTTAATTAATTAATCCATTAACAGTCTCTCTGGGCCTCCCCAAAGGCACCCTTGTCTGAGGTTCTTGCTGATGCCTGCCGTCCCCTCAGGCCTAGGGGTGCTCCGGAATGGTGCGTGATGGCCCCAGCTGGTGGGGAGAGGGGCAAGAGACAGCAGAGCCAACCGTCCGGCAGACCTGCCCCCTCACCTTGTCAATAGATGGACTCAGCTGCCTGCCAGGTTTCTGCAAAAGCACAGCAGTCCATAGTACACCTGCTTGCAAGGCAAAACACGGCTGTGGCTGGGGATCACACCAGAGCACTAATTTGCACAAACACAGGTGTTCACTCTGGGTCTCCCCATCTTTCCTCTTGGTTGCACTTCCAGAGGGCCTGGAGGCAGCCTCCGTGTTGTTTTCAGACAATTAGCTGTAGCTCTGGATCCATTCAGAGGTGAGCAGGAACCAGTGGCGGCTGAGCAAGGGAGGTGGGGGCACCTGGCCCTGTGCACATGTCGCTCTATGCGGGAGAGCTGGAGGCTCAGCTGCTGTGGCTGCAGCTGAATCCAGAGAGGACGGCTTCCACACTTGAACCCCTCTCAGCATGGGCTGTTTCCAGGTCCTCGGATCTGGGGTGCACGGAGGTTTTTGCACCCAATAGCTGGAACAAGCTAGATGTGAATTTAGCAAGTGGCAAAGAAACAGCGAAGCTGAGTTTGAGGAACTGGAGAGTCTCCTTGCGCTCAGACTAGCAGCCGTTACTAAGAGGCGTTTAATGCCCCAGCACGCTTTAGCAGTGTGAAAGGAGCCTCCAGTCGAACCTCCTGCCACTTGGCTGGGAAGGGGCACCTGAGGGTAATCCCGCGTAGCTTCAGCCTCTCACGTGCCTTGTTTATACTGATTTTTTCTTTGTCAGCCTCTTCTGATCTGTCAGCTTTATTTATCTAAACAACACCCACCAGAGTAATCATTTCCCCATGGCTATCAGGAGCTGGAAAGTCTAAACAGAGTGAGACCCTCAGTCCCCTACCTATTCTGCGACCACCATAATAAGACTCATAATGGTGTTTCTCCTATGCTTCATATCTCCACGGAGCCTGCAGAAACCCGTTTCAAAGCAGCCATGTGCTCTTGGCTCATTAGCAGCCTCTTGGAGCAACAGCCACGTTCAGCTCCTTGCGCTCTCGCGCTCTCTCTCCTTAAGGTCTCTGCTCATCCCATAACCATCCTGTGTGTGGCGGCTGCCAGGCCCCTGGGCACTCCAGATGCTTTGCCCCTTTCATCTGGAATTGGCCTCCTTGGCACAATTTGGCAAAGGGATTTTTTGTGACTGTGGAGGGGAGCAGAACCCAGACAAACAGAGAGCGGGGGGTGGGCGGGCTCTGCCCCATCTTGCTCTTTGCAGCAGCCCTTCCTCTCAGAGGAGGCAAAGAGAAGCTGGGAAAGGCGACCCACTTATTCACACAGTGCCTCCTTGGCAAGTTTTGGGCAGGGCTGAGTCTGCCAGGAGTCCAGATGGTGAAGGCAGCCTCCCTGGGCATGGCAGAGAAGTACTTTTCAAGAAAACAGGCAGGGTTGTGGGCAAGAGGGGCCCCGTTGCCTTTCAGGAAGGCAGGGACAGTGGCCCACAGGGACAGCTCACACTTCCCCACTTACCCTGGCCTTTATTGTTGTGGGGCAGCTGCCGTTTGCCTCTGTCCTCTATCCAAATGACCCTCGGCAGCCTTCCCTGGCAGGAGCCGGAGGAGGAGGGGCTGGCATCTGGATTCAATGTCTTCAGTCTTTCCTCCTGGCTCACCTGCCCAACGTCGCTCAGCGGGTGAAATACAGGCGGGCATAAAACCACTTGGGAATTCCTCTTAGCTTTATTATACAGGTGCCTCTATTTACGCATCCTCTGCTTGCTGCAGCTTTCATTAATGTTGGGAAAAGGGGAAAGTACATTTTTATCCTCCTGGCAGAACAAATGCAGGACCTCAGGGGGTGGCAGAGGGGCAGCGGCTGGGTAGAGATAGGGCAAACCTGTTCCCCTGAGGAAAAGTGGCCAGGGCCCTCCATCTGTGAATGACAAGGCTGAGGAACTACGGCTGATGCCTCCATGCACAGGAGCAGTCTATCTGAAATCACCTCTGGGGGTGCGTCACCTAGGAGGCCCTGACTGCCCCACTGCCATCCCCAGCTCCTTCACCGTGTGCAGAGGCTGCTCCCCAGAAGGTGGGCTGGACTTTCAAGGCTGCTGGGTTTCTCTGGAATCTCCTGCTTGTGGTGTTTGATATCCGCCCCTCCCCTGGAGCAGGCTTTTTCACCAGGGGGGGTTTGCGGGCAGCCCCCCACTCATTCCCAAGCACTGGGAGAGGGAGAGCGAAGGACCCTCAAGGAGAGGGGATGCTCAGAGGGAAGCGCTGGAGGCCTGGCCCGATTCACCAGCCAGCCGTGTGAGTAATATTCCCAAGAGGGTATTTAGACAGAAGCCCGAGTGAGTTATTTAGTGAGAACATTAAGACGGCACAGGATTACTTATTTATGGGAACTTTGTGGCAGATCTGTCACTCAATAATTTATACCATTCAGCATTTAGCAGGGTCGCCAGTAAATAATTCAATTATTATAAACTAAGGGATGCTTGATGATATGTTGAATTACAGCTTCCCCTCTGATTCAGGACCATAAATACGAGGAGTGACAACCGCCTGCCCGGTGCCCTCACTGGGCTCCTTGCTGATCCCAACGCTCTCGCCTCATGGATTGGAAAGCCTGGCATTGGCACCTCTGCTGGGGCTCGCATGGCATCTCCTGGGCACCACGGTCTTACTGAGAATGCAAGCACAGCACAGCCGGGGGGTGGGGGGGTGTTCCTGCGTGGAAAGCAGCCCTGCTTGCTTAAGGCAGAGTGGAAATCACTGGGGCGGAAGGGGGGGACCTGGTGGTCCCTTGCTTTCAGCCCCTGAAGTATCTGCTGCTGAAGGGGTCAAAAGGCTTGGCTGATCCGGTAGCCAGATCAACCTTCGCCATATTTCAGAGCTGTGACCTTGTCTCCGGGGCAGTCCGTTGCCCCCCAGAAATGGTGAGCTTGAGGAAGCGAAGGGAGCAGCCCCGCCTCACAGGTCGGCTGAAGGAGGGACATCCCTGCATCACACCCACCGGCTGCAGCTCCAGGCGTCAAGGCAAATGCCCGGAGGCCTTCTGGTCCTCCAGTGAACCCAAAATCCTTCTGCGCTTTGAGTGGGCTTCTCCTGAGAAGTTGCCATTAGTGCACCCCTCAGGAGAGGGACCTGCGTGCCAGCCCATGGGACACGCGTGCCTGGCATGGCTGCTCAACCCAGAGGAGACACCACACCGGAGTGAAGCAGCAGAGGGACCGGGTTCCAGCTGCAGCAGCGTTTCGACGAAATACTCTGTGGCTTTACATCTTTGGCCTGTTCCCAACCATCCCCCTCCTCATCTCCTCCTCTATCAGTGGGGGAACCCAAGGCCAGAGTTGGCCAATCAGCTTCCTGAGTAGCATGAGGCCAGCCAATGGTGGCTTGGAAAAAAAATCAAGGCAACACCTGAGGGGCTTAGCTCCAGGTATGAGTCCAGTGGGTTCAGCTTCACCTAAGCCAACCGTGAGCCAGGATCGGCCCCATCTAGCAGTCCCCAGTGGAGCAGAGTTGGAGTAACCATCAAGGGCTGCCCTTTGGGAGACAGCCAGGCGAGCTCAAGCCCCGCCCTTCTTGGTGTGTGTGTGCGTCCCTCTTGCCTCCCCCACCAGGAGTGACCCTCTTCTTCTGTGCTTCCCCTTCCACAGAACCCCTCCACACACCCCCACCCCACCCCAGAGGACCCACACAGGAAGGTTTCACCGCATCTTTTAATGGGTAACAGCAGGCAGACGGCCCGTCCTGAAGCACTTCAACACAAACGCTCGCCTGGGAAACAGGGAGGAAAGCTGCTTTTCAATCATGACAGCCCCTGACCGCCACCTGCCGGACAGGTTGCTCCTCCAGCCTTAAGAACTGGCACTACAGGGACCTCCCTGTGCCAGCACGTGGGAGCCCGAGAGAGGCTGTGGGTGGGCTGGGGTTGGAGATGCCTTGCGGGGTGTCGAGACCCATGAAATAAACAAAGGGGGCTGAAGCTGATTAAGCCCTGGGAAAGCCAACCCCTGCTTGGAAGAGTTGTTGGTTCCCTGGAATGTAAGAAGCAATGATAAAATGCTCTTATTCTAGCCTGTCTCAAGGAAATAAGAGTTCTGGAGGGTTGCGTGATTTGGTCTACCTGGAAGGGCTGGTGCCATGATAAGCTTTCATCAGGCCTTTTGGATGCCCCATTTAAGCGTCGGGGGGGGGGGGGGGGGAGAAGCAGGGTCTTCTTGGGTCACAGCAGCAGCAGTGCAGCAGTCACCAGGAGTCCTCTGACCAGGAGAGAGCCCAACGCCCAGGGTCCTAAGGTGGGAAAGGGAAGGGGGATCATTAATACCTGAGCAGCCCATCCAAAGGAAAGCCACAGCCAAAGTCACAAGTGGGCGGAGGCTGATCTGAGCCATGGAAACCGGGTGAGGGGAGCAGAAAGAGGAGGCTCCCCAAAGAGGAGAAGGAGGAGGAGGAAGAAGGTTCTGCCCCTGAGTTGGACAGCCAAGTGCATAGCCTGGGCTGATCCATGCAAATCCCTGGATATTTGCACTAATCTGAAAAAAAACGCACTAACTTCGCCCTCCCCTCCCCAGGACTGGCGAGGCAGAGTCGGGCATCTCCATCACACGGGTGGGCAGGAAAGCCCGTTGTGTCCAATGGGTAGCAGACCATTTCAGTACCCAGAGCCTCTTAGCTATGTTAGCTGGTCTTCATTTTGCTTGGGGCCATAGGGCAGGGCACTTCCCTGGCCTTGCCCATCATCCTTTCCCAGTGGGGTTGATGGGAACTGTGATGCAACCTATCCAGAAGTTGCTCAGGGAAGATTAGCTTTGGCTCTTGCTTCCTTGTTCCTGCGACTTTGCATTCAGTCCTCCCCCCCCGCCCATTTTGTATTTTAGATTCCAAAGTTTCCAGAGGTCCCACTTGATCTAGACCGGCTTCCCCCACCCCCCTGTAAATGGCCCTCCTTCCTCCAGTCCTGTCCCCCGTCCCCCGTCCCCGTCCCCCTCCCCCGTTTACCCGCATCGCAGCGTGGCAGGGTTAGCCAAATAATGACTTAAAGAACTTCAAAAAGAATTGCTGAATACCCAGTAATGAAACCAATGAATAATGCAGAGGACACCGAAAACGAAGAGGGAACATTTGCTTCTGCAAACTTCAGAAGTGCAACTATTCTAAACACAGCTGACAAATCTGCTTAGATCTCAAAAATGGTAATTGGGCGGGCTGCCTTATTTGTAATATTCTTTACGTGGTTTGGACCTTGTGAGCTCCAGAGAGGCAAAGGGGCCACAGAGCTTCCTTGAGCTCTCCTTTACTCCCTTGCAGAGCCAAGGGCCAACCTGGCAACTGCCCCACCTAGTTTGATTAGGCCCCCAAAATTAAGGATCTGCAGAAGTGCCAAGATTTTGCCGAGGGCCCCGTTCAGTGGCCCCTGAAGAATGCAAGATTTGGGCTCCTCCACAAAACAAGGACCAAGGCAGGGGTGAAATCCAGCAGGTTCTGACAGGTTCTAGAGAACCAGTAGCAGAAATTTTGAGCAGTTCAGAAAACCAGCAAATACCACCTCTGGCTGGCCCCAAAGTGGGGTGGGAATGGAGATTTTGCAATATTCTTCCCCCAGGAGTGGGGAGGGAATGGAGATTTTGCAGTATCCTTCCCCTGTCACGCCCACCAAGCCACGCCCATAGAACCGGTAGTAAAAACAATTGGATTTCACCACTGGACGAAGGGCTGAATCTTTATCCCAGCCTCAAGTGGGCAGGCATTTCTAACAGCCAAGGGAGAGGACCTGCAAGGGGCAGGAATACCAGCTGCTGGCCTCTGTGCCAAACTGCTAGTGCCAAGGAGGGGCACCTGTGCTGTGGGCAGACATTGGTGCGGTGAGTCGAAGGGGCCCTGAGGGTGCCAGCTCAGCCACTGAGGGGCGGGGGCGGGGGAGAGTCTTGGGCAGGTTCTGCCTTTTACCTGGACTTGCCATGTTGGGAATGCAAGGATGCTGGAGGACGAAGCTGAAGGTGCTCTGGGCGGTGGGGGTCTGGGCTGCGCAGGTGTAGGCCCTTTTGTGGTTGGTGTGCACAAGCTGAATGAGCCAGGCCACCTGGCTGAGGGTGGTGCCAGTCTCTGAGTCCTTCCAGGCATAGGTCACCCTGTGGCCGGACCCCATCCCTACTTCACAGTCCAGATAAATGTAGCAGGAATCATTCCCCAAGGAGGAGATCCTTTCGGTGATGTCTGGCAGGAGAGACAGGAGGGGTACAATTCAGAGGGAGCAGCAGGAGGAAAGAAGGCCTAGGATCCCAAAGCAGGAAGAGACCCTTGAGGCCATCCAGCCTAACCCCCTGAACCTTTCCAGGGAAGCAGAATCATCCTTCCTTCGAACACACAATAGTTTTCTAGCTGTGCTGCAAAATGAATCAGCTTTTGGCCCAGATTTGCAGGCATTTGGTCACACCAACTTCTGCCTCTCTTGCACAAACTCACAAGAAGTGACTGAGGAACTGAAAGTTCCACGGAAGAAAACAATTGAGCAGAGAAACTGCTGTTCAAAGCACTAATCCGGGCGAGGATTTGGCTCGAGAGATTCCCCCCCCCCCCCCGTCAAGCCAAGATGCCTGAAAATCAGACCAATCAAAGGCTTGTCTTTAAGAACATCCCCTAAAGTTCAGCTCAGCTGAAAGTAGTGTGACAGCCCCTCCCCCCCACCCCCCACAGCCTCATACCTCTGTTTCATGTATTAACAGTCAAGAAATGGGCTGGATGCAAATGTAGATCTCAAAGGGACTTGATTTCCTGGAGATCACTTTAATTTGTCCCATATTTCCGGCTGGGAATCCTGCCTTCTCCTACTTTCTGGGACCTAGAAAAATGTGCCACCCTCTCCACTTCCACCTGTTCCTCAGGGCAGCCTGAACGGAGGGACCCTCAATGCAATTGCTACTCATCTACGATGCAGGGAGATTCTGTGCAATTGCTACTCATCTACGATGCAGGGAGATTCCTTACTGAATACGGCCACCAGGAAGCTGCCGAGCACTTTTGGGGAGGAGGAGGTGAAGCTGGTGGAGATTTCGTAGGTGCCCCCATCGTCCAGGCTGAGGTTGGCAATTCTGAAGGCTATCTCGTCTTTCTGGAAGGTCACCCGGTTAGCGTATTTGATGTTTACAACACTGACGTCTTTGGAGTCCATCCAGATGGCGATAGCTTCTTCTCTTGAGGAGTCCCTCAGGAGGAGGTTGTTGAGGCTCTGGCCCTTGGGAACGGTCATGGGCAATGTGACAGCATCCCCCAGACGAATCGACTTCAAGGGGGGGTCAGGTGCAGAGGCTGCTTCTGGGACACAAGGGAGAGAGGAGCAAATCCTGACACCCACACCCAGGAAAGCCTCCTTGGAGACCCAGTGTGGGACAGGAGTGGACAGGAGGGCCAGCCAACCAGGAGACCCGCTGAGGTCCTTTTGTGGGGGGACAATTTGCATAAACAAATACTGCCCCAACAACTGTAAAACATCAGTCAGTTCCTTCTCTCCCAACTCCTTATGCCAGTCCCAGCTGTGCTCAGTGCCCCACTCCCAAATATTGCATTACGCTTTCTGTCCTCCTGCTCCTGGTCAGGGAACAGCGCCCTCTGCTGCTCAGCACCACAAACTGCCATGCCTTGGTCCCCTCCCATTTCCTTGGACTTCTGTGCAAGCTGCCAGTGTGGCCCTCGACCTGTTTGGCCCCTGGTGCCAAGGGGACGTTGGGCTTTCCTGCTGGCCAGAGACCCACCCAGAGGGGCATCGTGCCCATCTGTGTCCAGGTGAAGAAGCCAAAGGAGGGGGAGAGAGGATTAAAAGCATGAAGGGTGCAGCCACAAACAACCATTTCTCAGAAGACCCCCAGGTTGGATCCCTCCACTTTTGAAAACTGCCTTGCTGAGCAAAAAGCAAAGTCGACTAGAGCCTGGAAGCTCCAAAGAAGAGCACCTCTGAGCATGGGAAAAGTGGCCTTGGAGGAAGAACCCCAGCTGCAACATCGGTTGTCCCAGCCATCCCCAGCAGAAGAGGCACCTCTCTGGGCCCTTCCTGTGGCTTACCTGCCCAGCAGAACAGCAGAAATGCTAGGAGGACACAGGAGTCCATGTCGGCCCTTCGGAGACAAATGTGCAAAGTGAGTCACAAGGAAACGGGCGTCTCCTCTTCCTTCCCACCCCCCTCGGAAGGAACTCCTTTGTTTCTGGGGGTGGTCTGGAGAGCAAGTCACATGTCCCAGCTCTGTTTATGGAGCAGGGAAGGAAGCTTCAGCTGGAGGAGAAGCCCCACCACTTGACGCCCTTCCTTAAAGGGAAGCCTTTGGCATGTTGAGAAAAGCAGCTGCAGCAGCAGCCAAAAATGTGCCTCTGTCCCGGGGCCCTGGGGCTCTGAATGCGGGAAGGGCCCTCTGGCTTGGCCCCGCTGTCACTGCTGCTACTGGAGCTGCTGCAATTTTTTTAAAAATGCTTTAAATGCTTTATAATTTTAGAATTGTAAGCTGCCCAGAGTTGGGTGGCTATAGAAATAGAATAAACAAACAAACAAACAAATAATGCCTGGGCTGAATTCTGGCATATAAATTTAAGAAACAAATATTCCCTGGGTCCAACTGGAGGGCTCAAAATCTTCCCAGAACCAAGAAGAAAGATGTGCGCCCCTCCTCCCCTCCCCAGTGAAGCTTAACTTTTGGAAAAAGTGTGCAGTTTGCTCAGTTGGTGCAGTTGGTACAGTTGGTGCAGTTTCTAGCTTATCCCCTGGAAACCCTGACCAGAGCCAGCGGCACTCCTTCCAGTCTCAACATGGCACAACCTGTGGCCTGGGGGCTTGGTGGTTCTCCAGGATAGAGAAGCTTCTTCAAGTAAGCATCTAGGTAACACAATGGCTCCTCAGAGCGTTGCTGTTGCCTGGCTGGTATTTCAAGCTCTGGTTGGCAGACCAGTCTTCTGATGGGGAGGTCGGGGGGGGGGGAGGAGGTAGCCCTGCCCAGGCCCTTTCCGAGCCAAGAGAAGCTTCCTGTGACACAATGGGCGCCAACCTTCCTTCCTGTGGATAACGGACGGAAGCCCCTGGTAATCTTCTACAGGCTTTGGGCGCTTTTTCGGAATCTGAGCCCTGGCGCTAAGGCTGCTTTGCTAGGCAACTTTATGATTTAAAGTGTGTGTGAGTGTGTGGGTGAGTCCAGAACGGAGCACACCGGGTAGTGGTGCAAACTGGCCATAAATAAGGCCGCGGGAGGACGTGGACAATCAGGTGCTGTCCGGAGCCTTGAGCCGAGAGACTCCGGCACTGGCTGAGCGACCTGCCCAAACTGACAGCAGAGAGGAGTTCAGAAGCTGCGTGGCCCCAGGGAAGCCGAGCGCGTCGGGGACCGAAGCCCCGCGGGAGCCACGTCTTCCTCCGAGCTGAAGGCTCCGCAGCTACGTTCCTTCGAGCCGGGTCTGGCTGCAGCGGGGTTGGGGCTCGGGGCTGGGCGGGCAGGCGGACCGGAGCACCCCACCCAGTCGAGAAAGGACGCCCTCCGGTGGCAGCGAAGCCTTGTCCAGATTGTAAAGGGGGCGCGCGGGGTGCTGCCTCTCCCCCCTCCGAGAGCGCAGGGCAGGACTGCGCTCTCGGGGGTGGGAGGGTTAGCAAATTCTCCATCGCGTCTGGAGGGAAGGAACCGAGACCGAAGCGGGGTCAGCTCACGGGGAGTCGAAGGGTGCCCCCTCTCTGGAAAGGAGCTTCTAATCTAGGAAGCGCCTTGCTGGGTCTCTAGCTGGGACCACCGGTGGCGTCGCGCCTTTGCCGGCCTTGCTGGCGAACAGAGCCCTTCCTGACCGCAGCCCACCTGGTCCTGCCCGATCCCTCGGCCTAGAGCGAGTCTCGCGTGGGAAGAGACGAAGAGAGCGGGGAAGGGCCCCCGATTCCAGCTGGAGGTCGGTGAGGTGGGAAGGACCTCCTGGGACCGTTTTGGATCTGGGAGCAGCCGAGACGCGTTCGCTACGCTTCTCCAAATCCTGCTGTTTCTTGGCCGTCGTGCGTGTGAGCGGGTCGTTGTGGGAAACTTTCCCGCTGAGAAAAAGCGGAGCTCTGCGTGGCGGGATTGTTCTCCAGAGAGCCACCCAGGTGCCATTCCCACTTCCGCCCCACTGCCCACCTGCTGTGTGGCACCCGAGGACTTACGTTGAATAAAATTAGGAAGTAGACACAGAACAGTAATACTGGGAAGGACCCCCCACCCCTTCAGCAATGTCTGTGCCCTGCTTTGAGACTAATGATAAACTGATTTAATTACATCACTATCCATTAATAAAGCAACGTCTTCGAGACATTTGAAAACCTGACTTTTAAACTTGTCTTTATTTAGTGATTTTGTTCTAAACAGAAAAAAAAGCTCCCTTTCACCCGCCAATAAAATTGGACTTTTAGTGCAAAAAGTCTTCTTCAGTGGATAAAAACCTTCATATTTATGAAGTACAGTACATAATTAATAGGCACAAAATAAACGTTTTTAAAAACGGAAATCAGATTAAATGCAGTTTCAACTCAGTCATCAAAACATCTGTCCTTATTGGCGTGTGTGTGTCTCATGTTGATTCAGCCACACAAAGCTAGACCTAAGAGAGTCTGGTAACATAAAAGGGCTGGATAAGTGACCACTGGTCATAGGTTATGGCCAGCTTGGACTCTGACCAGGAAACCTTTCCTTTGCTCCTTGTTTATTTGCTTCCCACACCTCTCAGCAAAGTTTGCAACCCCCTCTGGGTGTGTTTGTGGACGCCCGGGCTGAGACACAACAGGACACCAACTAGGCTGCCACCCTGGGTGCTTCTTCCTCTTTCTGAGAGGCTTAGAGTGACTCTTGTGAAAACCCCCAGCTGGCCTTGTTACTCAGGGTCATAAAGCCCACCCCCCCACCCCCGCAGGATGTTACGCAAAATGCGTAATGGAGAGGTATATTGCGCCATCCTGGTTTTTCTATTGCATCAATTTTTTGTTCCTAAATTAGGAAGTTCCCTTCTTGTTTCCTGACTGCATGCCTGAACCCCCAAATATCTGGAAGAAACACTGGGAACCCCGCCTCTATTTTGTCTTTTCTTCTCTGCAATGTCTTTGTTTCCAAAAAATAAAAATGTTTTCTTTGAGGCCTGCAAATCTGGTGGGACCAACCTCTCACAAGGCCCCTCCCTTCCTCCTATGGGAAACTGGGAGGACCCCTAACCCTGAAACATCCTTGGCTAAGAAGGAAGGTAGGAAGAAGAATTAATTCAACCTCCTTCTCCCTCTTCATGTCTCCCAAAACTTCACGGCCAGATCTCCATTAGACCCAAATGGAGCTTAATGGCGAATACTGATCCAGCTGGTCTCTCCAAATCTTCAGGTCTTGCATCCAACTTGCATTTGCCTATGGATGCAATGGGGCTCAAAAGAAAACAGACCGAAGGACTCTGTGAAATTGAGGGGGAGGGCTAGCAATTAATTTTCTAGCTTAAATTCATGTGCAAGTCAGGAATGAGGATCTTAGGTCAACACACATTTCAATCTACCTATGAAATGGTATCTGTTAGGCATACGTCCAGGGTGCAAACTTTAAAAAGGAAAAGAAAAAAGGAAGGAAGGAGGGAAGGAAGGAAGGAAGGAAGGAAGGAAGGAAGGAAGGAAGGAAGGAAAGGAAGGAAGGAAGTAGGTAGGTAGGTAAGAAAGGAAGGAGCTCTCGGGAGCTGCTAAAAATTTAAAGCTGTGGGAGAAAGGGATGAGGACTGCAGGGTAATCTCTGATTAACTTCCTTTTTGGTGCTGACAGCATTGTGTCTGCTCTTTAACTTGTTTTTGACAAAGTGCAATGTCACTCCTTCACTCCTTTCTTCTTTGCTTTCTGTTTTTTTCACGAGTACCAACATATAGATCATTTATATAAATAAACATATATAAATATCAAAATAGACATTTGTGTCCCAGGAGGAAGCTACGCTCTCCCTCTTCCTTGATGTGCAAAACACCGATTTGGACTCTTCTGTTCCTGGCAGAAACCATCCAGGCCAGGCCAGCTTGACTGCGGGGCAGAGCCAGGAGGGTCGACCCACCTGCCCCCCAGCCTGATCGATTCCACTGTCAGTGGCTGCTGCAGACCAGAGGTTTCCAAGCATCGCCTCGCTCCTCCAGCTCCGAGACCCTTGGAGGACCCCAACAGGCTCAACTGCAAAGGCTGGCAGGCAGGGGGGCTCTTCTTGGGGGCCAAAATTTCAGGGTGACCCTGACTGAAGTGGGCATCCAACTGCAAACAGCGTGTGCCCAAAGTGACTCCTTCTCTCCCGAGTGGATTTTTTTCTGGCATTGTTTGAGGAGCTGGCAGATTCCCCCTTGATCAGGCACTCTGCAAACAGGCTTCAAAGTCCATGAAACGTTTCATGCCTCGGTTTCCCTTCTACATTTACTGAAATTTCCTACCTTTTGAAAGAAAATACTTGGGTTGGGTTTTGGCTGGATAAAAGTGACAAGGATGGAACGCTATGTTAGCCTGAGGAAAAGGCACCACCAGCTGATTTTGAACTAGCTCGGAATGAAGTGGGTTTCCCCAGCTGATAGCCTCCTCCTCCTCCTCCTCCTCCTCCTCCTCCTCCTCCTCCTCCTCCTCCTTCTCCTCCTCCTCCTCCTCCTCCTCCATCTTACTGGTTTTATTTTTCCTTCCTGCTGCTCTCAGAGGCCCCACTTGCTCTGGGATGCTGCCTTGCCTTCATCTTCCTTCTTGGGCTTAAAAAGTGCAGCATTTTGATGATTTACAGTAATAACACAAAAACTGCAGCTGTGATCATGGTGTGTGTGTGTGTGTGTGTGTGTGTGTGTGTGTGTGTGTGTGTGCAGAGGCCAGGACCCTGACAATTCCTCCTCAGGGCTCCAGCCATCTGCGGCTTGGGGATCCCAAGCTTTTGGAGGTTCAGAGCCAGGATCCCATGACCCAACGTGGCCACAGAAGCCTTACTCAAGGGACCTCAGCCACGGCCACTCTCAGGCCTGTTCCCTGGTGGTGCATTCAGCTGCCCTTGTGAGCCCGGCCTCCGCCACTCCACCTGTTCTTCAAAAAGGGGTAAAATAGAAGCGCACGGGGGGGGGGAGGAAGAGTCCCTTTTGTTGGGGGCTCTTCTGTGGGGAATAAAAGCAAGGCTGCCTTCTCTTTGGGGGAGCCTCTGCCCCCTCTGCAGCTGAAGAGGCTGTCAGGACAGTAGGGGGCACCCCGGCCGGGGAGGGAGGGAGGCTGCGATGGATGCCTAGAAGCTACGAGAGACCAGTTCCCCCCAGGGAGACTCAAACATTGCTGATCCGCACACTCAGCGGAGTGCTTTCCCGCTCGGCTTTCTCCCGGAAGGATTCCTCCAGCTTCAGTTTCTCAGGGTCACCGAATCGCGCGGTTTCGTGGAGGCAGCACGGGGGGGCCACCTTGATCACTTGCTCAAACATGCTGAAGTCGGCCACATATTTCCCGCTGGCTGAGAGAGAGATGACCGGAGTAAACTCGTAGCCCCACAGGATCTCCTCGGGGAGGTAAGAGGTACGGACCTGGCAGGTGGCGCTGGTGGACTCGACGGTGCCACTGAGGATGACCACCAGCTCGAAGTCGCCTTCTCCTGTGCGCAGGGTCAGGTCCCGGAAGGGGCTGCGTTCATTCACCACGTGGTAGAAGGTGAGGGGCAAGATGAGGAAGGGGCTGTCGGAAGACGTATCCACTTGGAAGTCCACATTGACCTGGTTCAGCCGGACGTGCTCCCCTTCCTTGGTCAGGTAGGTCTGAAGGAGCTTCCCTGTGATTTGGCAGCCGATCAGGAGGCTCTTCCGCATGTTGGCCACCCGGATCATCAGGCAGGTCCTGCCGTCGTGCTGAGCCACCACGGCGTTCTGGCTGAACTTGATGGTCTCCGCCCTCTTTTTGGGCCGAGCGATCTTGGCCAGGAAGGTGCCAGTGATGAAGATTTCCATGATGGTGGTGAGGACCAGCTGGCTGATGAGCAGGACGATGGCCAGCGGGCATTCCTCGCTGATGTAGCGGAAGCCATAGCCGATGGTGGTCTGGGACTCCAGGGAGAAGAGGAAGGCCCCCGTCAGCGTGTGGACCTGCATGACGCACGGCGTGTGGTTGGCTGGAGGGTTGAACTCCAGCAGGTCCCCGTGCAGCAAGGCCACCAGGTACCAGACAACCCCGAAGAGGAACCAGGTGCCGGCAAAGGAGGCCGAGAAGAGGACCAGCTTGTAACGCCACTGCATGTCGATGAAGGTCGTCCAGAGGTCCTTCAGGTACAGGAAGCGCTTGTCTGCGATGTGCTCCATGCGCACATTACTTCGCCCGTCTTTGGTCATGACCCGCCTCTTCCGTAGCACCGGACCAATCAGGGGGTGGCTGTCGGTTTGGGTGGTCTGGCTGTAGTACACCTTGGTGGCCGAGGTCATCTGGGCAGTGGGAAAGAGAGGCAGGTAAGGGGGTGCTCACACCAGAGGGACACAGGGGGACAATCACATCTGCATTCAGGATAAACCACTAAAGAGCAGTAATATCTACACAACTTCTGTCCTGGGGCAGTGGAGAGAGCATGAAATGGCACTCCTGGCCAACCCACCCACCATTCTTCTACAGTTCTACAGTCTTCTGATTTCCCTGAGGGGCTCTTGACCCCCTTTCTTTCTATCACCCCACAGCCCCCTGGCTCACAGTCACATGGATTCCTAGCCCTTTCATTTTATTTTGCACACTGTTTGCGCTCCTGGGTTAGTTGCTGTTTGTTAGCCTGTGTGTCGCCCGTTGGCTGCTGAAGGAAACAGGATGCGATTGATCTTGAATCAGATCCAGGCCTGCCTTAGGTTCCCTAGGCGGAGACGCTGGTGTGGACGATCCCCTCCAAGCTGGAAAGTAGGAGGTGAACTAGGGTGGCCCTCTTGCTAAACAAGGGAGGGAAGGGAAAAGGAGAGAGAGAAAGGAAGGAAGGAAGGAAGGAAGGAAGGAAGGAAGGAAGGAAGGAAGGAAGGAAGGAAGGATTCTTATAGGGAAGGTCTTTTTATCTGAAATGCAGTGGGGTGTCACAAAAATTCCCCCAGGGAGGTTACTTGGGTGCACGTTAAGCCAGGACCAAGGAAGAGCTGGGGGCCAAGGGACTTCCCTCCCTGCCTTGCTCTAAGGCCTCCTGCCTTGTGGTCAAGCAAGGCCAATGAACCCCCTTCCTTCTCCGCTGGCTGAGATGACCAGGCTGCAGCCCTCCTCCTTCCTTCCCTGCATGTGAAGCCCAATGAATTGGGGGGGGGACGACAAGGAAGCCAAGTCTCTCCCTCTCCCTCCCCCTCTTTGCGCTCTCTCACACACACAGAGAATATGATGCCCATTGAGTGATTGTCCATTCTTCAAGCTCTTCCCCTCCCTCCCTTTTAATCCTGTTCCCAGCAAAGAGAAAACATCCTTCCGGTTGTTTGAAAGAGCCTTTGAACAACCAGTGAATGAATTGTCATCCTGGCCAGGGACCCCCACCCCAGCCCCACCGTTTCCATGGGAGGAAAGGAGGCATGGACCCCAATGTGCCTCTGCCTTTCCTGCAGCCACGGCCCAGAGACCCCCCTGCCCCTTGGCCAGAGAGGGTGGGGGCTTCAGCAGCTATTCTGTGCCTTGTGCTGCCCCACTTCTGAAAACGAAGATGTAGCTGTCCTCTCAGCAGGGAAGGGCCCCCCTCAGAGCTGCCCCCAAATGAAAAAAAATGTACAACTATGATGATATAAGTGAAATCAATAAAATAGAAAAGCAATTGAAAAGAAAGTATATATCAACAGAAAATCAGGGCTGCTCAGATACCAATAGGGAAAATATTGAATTGAAAACAAATACAACAATGGAGAGAGAATGGAAAGAGAAGTAGAGGGTAAGAAAGGAGGGGAGAAGGAGAGGGAGGAACAGAAGAAAGGGAAAAGGAGAGGAAGAAAGGGAGGGAAAAAGGAGTAGGAGAGAAGGTTAGAAAGGGGGGGAAGAAGGGAGAAGTGGGGGAAAGGAAGGGGAAAGAGAGAAGAGGAAGGAGAGGAGGAAAGAAGAAAGTAGAAAAGGGTAGAAGAAAAGAGGGAAGGGAAAGAGAGAAGAAGGAGAAGAAGGATTGTTGTAAAATAAGGGAGAAGAAATGGTAGAAGAGCAACCCCGAATATATTTAAATTTTTTCTTAGGATGAAGAATGAATTAATATGAAAGTGTAAAGAGTATATATATAATTAACAATGGATAAGAGACTGTACATTTACAATATGTTTATGAGAAATAAATTTTTTTTTCAAAGAGCTGCCCCCAAATGGAGGGTCAGCTGTTCCAAGAGGCCAGCTGGCCAGAGACGATGCCCAGGGCCAAGAGACCTTCCCTCACCTTGGCACCCAAAGCCCACCTTCGGGCCAAGGGAAACCTACATCCAGCCCCTCAGCCGGCTTCCTTTCATCGCTCTTCCTCTTGGCTTCCTTGCCAGCCTCCCCTTCCTCTGCCCGGCCTCCATCCGAGGCCACAGCTGTCTCCCTCCCCGTCAGGTCTTTTCCTCTGCTTGGTGGCACCTGAGGGTCCCTTCTTAAACTCTCAGGCAGAGAGAGAGGCAGTCAGGTTTGTTAGAAGCAGATTCCCTTCAGGTCTCCAGAAGAAGAAAGGTTGGGAGGGCAGCAGGGGGCGCTCTTCCAAAGCACCCCAATGTACTGCCCCACGGCTGGCTGCCTGACTTCTACGTGGTGGGGCAGAAGTGAAAGCCCTTGCACACACTACAGTCACATGTTGCATGCAGAGTCAGCCCTGCATGTGGGAACGAAGCCGGTTCTGGGTTCAAGTGAAGAGAGGGAGGCTGTTTTTCTCACAAAAAGGAGGGCTATTGTGGCAGTTGCACCACCAGCAAAGCCTGGAAGTTTTGCCAACCCAGAAAAACGTGTCATCCAGGCACACAACGATGTGTGTTGTGGGGATGTAGCCAAATTCTCTGACTGACAGGAGGGAGCTTGGCAAACTGCAATTGTGGTTCCAGGATCAAACCTGGCTTTGAAGTTTTCTCATGCTAAACATAGCATAAAGCATGGACGATCCTTGGGTGCATCTGGAGTCACAGCTTCAATCTGTGGACGTGGCAGCTTCCGTGGTCTTCCTCTCCCCCCCAGCGCCCCCCTTGAGTCCTAATCTCCCAGGCTTCCCAGAAGGACGGGAAGCATCTGTGGGCATCTGAGCCTTTACAGAGGGTGCTATTTGCCAGATGCCAGACACCTGTTGAAATGCTGCCTTTCTTTTCTGCCTAAAACAGCTTCTTCTCACTTCTCCTCCCTGCCCCCCTGCCAATCTGGCCCCCAAATGGCCCAAAGCGGTCCCTCCAAAGGCCCCAGAAGTGGCTGCTGTTAATACCTCGGCGGCATTAAACATTAACTCCGTGTGCCTCGGCCTGCATTCATTAGGCCGGGAACGAGGTTGGCACAGTATGTAAAAGTTTACAGCCTGTTTTACAAGAAGAACATAATATATAACTATTTTTTCTCTAGAAAACCTGGCCAGGCCTTTATCTCCTGAAGATTGCCTTCTGCCTGGGATTCTGGCTGCCCCAGATCTGGGTTGCAAAATGAAGGGCCTGGAGCAGCCGGGATTGTCAGAGAGATGAATTCAGAAAAGGAGCTAAGAGACGGTGCCAGGCCTCCCTGGTTCAGCTCGGCCGAAACGGAGGGCTCCTTGGCCTCCTTCGTAAGACTTCAGGCGGCTTCCTCCCCCCTCCTCAATCTGGTTGCATCTGAGGAAGAGGAGGCCAATTGGGCACTCCTGCTGAAAGGGGCACCCAGAAATGTATGCCTTCTGAAGGCTGGTGACCCAACGCTGCAGCTCCTTCCTTGCCTTCAGCAAACGTGGTTAAACTGTAAACTGGGGTGGCTTTAAAGGCTTGTGCTGCACAACGTTTCTCCCTCCAGGGCAGCTGGGTGGCACTCAGAACAAGCAGCAGCTTGTTAAAACTTGTGTTTGGGCTTCGAGGGCTCTGGCCGGGGCAGAGGACACCCCCCCCCCTGGGAAGCTGAAGTGGGGCAAGACAAGCCAACGTCCCTTGACCTCTTAGTCAAGGCTGGGCTGGACCATGTTCTGGAGGGGACTTGCATCCGAATGGCTCGCCCTTTGCTTCCCAGCCACTCTCGCAGCCATGCTGGCCCTGTGGAACTTTGGCAACCTATGCTCAGCTGCCCAGGAGGGGAGGGAAACGTGGGCCGAGGCTCCCCCACTGGACCTCTGCAGGCTGCAGATATTGGAAACCGCCAAGCTCAGTTGTCCAGGATCTGGCCAGGCTTGTGGGGAGGGGGAGGAGGTGTAGGGGGGAGTGAAAGCATTTGACTGTTTGGTAAGAAGAGCGGGCAAGACAGAAGCCCCATTGTCTGCCCCCCAGGAGAAGGCCTGAATGGAGCTTCCAAGAGACAAAAAGTGCTTTGAGAAGGCCAGCTCGTTAGTATGCGAGGGGGAGCCACGGCCTTCTCTCGCTTGGCTCCCCTTCCCCCCTCTCCTGGCCACCCCAATGGGCAGGAGGAGTCCTGCCACCGGAGCTCCTCGGGCCGTGTTCATGGCACCCCCCTGGGATTCACCTGTTCTGACCCCCAGCTCACTGCCAGCACAGGGGGCACAGCTGGGCCCTTGCCGCCTGCAAATCTCTGCTTGCCAAGTGTGATTGCGGGGGGAGGGGGGGCTTGGATTCCCCCCCTGCAGGAGGGCCAGAAAGAGCCAAGCTTGCAACATTTCTCTCTTTCTCTTCAGCTCAGCTCTGGACTCCGCTGGGCATCTCTGCTGCTCTCTTAGATTTGGGGGCTTCTGGGCTCGGGCCAACCGAGCCACGAGATCATTTCCACAATGCTTCCACAATGTTTAAATGATCTTAGTTTCCCCTCAAGTCAGGCAGGAAATCCACAAAAACAAAACCTAACCCCCCACCCCAATAGCTTCACCTCATTTTAGTAGGAAAGAAAACACTCCCCAACATTTACACTCAAATATAGGAAACCTAGAAACTCCTGGTCTTGGCATCCCTGCTCTGTCCGCCACAACCTCTGCCCTGGCAAAGTGAAATGAAATAATGAAGTTACTGGTAACTGCCTTGAGGCCACAAAATTTATCCAAGGAAAAGAACGTGGCCTCAGGACTCAACCTCGCCTCAGAATGCTGACAGGGAAAGAGGGAGAAATTTCAGGAGAGGAATGGGGGAAAGAGACCCTTTCCGGGAATGTGAAGTTTGGTGATTAGAAGAGAAGTGCAGACATTTAAGAAAGATCGGCAGGGCAGTGAGTGAGCGAATGTCTCCGACTGTGGCCCACCTGGAGGGTTTCTAGCTGGGAAGAGCAGGCCAGGAGGGTCACGGCATCGCTTAGGAAGGAGAGGGGGCCCGTCCGTCTGTCCGTGTGGAAGGAAAGACCTTCCAACTTCAGAGAGTTGCCTGGACTTCTTTGCCTGCCAACATCCTCTCTCTCCTGCCTTCTTCCAAGGTCTCTTTCTCTCTCCAACCACCACCTGTTTTCTTCAGCAGACACCTGTGCCACAGCCACCTGCATCTTCCAAAAAGGCTCCCCAAACCCAGACCAGCCCCAAAACGTCTCCTTTCGGCACCTGTGGAGGTTGTTTGGGCTCCTACTTTTGGGAAAGCCCAGCAGCGTGGGGAACACCTCTCTCCCCATCTATCCCCAGACAGAGAACCCGGGGCGGTAAGCTTCCCTTGGGTTTCCCACCTGGAACACCCCACATCCACGCACGTATGTTCTCCTCCGGGTCCATGCAACTATCTCCCTCAGGGAGGGGGACCCGAGAGCCTGGGAGGAGTGGACTTGCCGAAAGTAGAGAAAGGAAAGCCATTTGTCCCCCGGAGGAGAGTCAAGGCAGGCAGAGGTTGCTACGACCGTCTAAGGCAGTTGAATTCTGTGCTCTTCTGCGGGTTGTATCCATCCCCATCACCTGTGGAAACTCCAGAAGGGGCTCCTTAGCAAATCCCCCTCCTCTCGTCTGCTGCATCACCCCATCAGATATGCCAGCAAGCGGGGCCTTGACCGAGGGGGGGACTTTGAACCCTCCCACATCCTCCTGCCCAAGTCCAAGATGGGACTGCCTTACCTTGAGCTTGGCGAAGGCTTGGATTGCAAACTGGGGGACCGTCACCTGGAGAGGACCTTCGCTCAGTGCCCGCCTGGTCAGGAAGGCGTCCGCTCCCCTGTTCTCCAACCTGCCCACAGGCGGATCCTTCTCCCACAGGGCTGGAGAGGCAGAGGCTGCAAGACTGTGCAGACCGTGAGGACGAGCGGTGAGGCGCGTCCACCATCAAATCAGCGTTGCCCCGGCTCTGCACGGCTGAGCCTCCCCCATGGATTTTATGCCTCCTTCTTTTCCCCCTTTCGGCGGCTGACAAAAGTTTGTCCAACTTCAAGTGAATGAAAGGATTATTTTTTTTTAAAGGAGGGGGCAGACGAGGGAAGCGACTGACGTCCTTAGCCGGCCTATCAGACGAGAGCCTTGCCAGGAATTGTGGAGAATGGAGAAGCAGGAAGAGGAGGAGGAGGGGGGGAAGGGGAGAGTGCAAAAGAAAGGAAAAAAGGGACAGAAAGAGAAAGAAAGGAGAGAGGACTTGGCCAGGGACTAGAGGGGAGGGGAGGAGGGGGCCCCCACTGGAGAAGCCAGGGGGTTAAAGTTTTAGTAGAAAGTTAATGAGCTGGAAATCACAGCTCTCCATCCATGCTAAGGGTCACAAGGCAAGGCGGGCAGAGGCGGGGCAGTGGCCAGGCAAGGCAACAGGAGGAAGGGAGCAGCAGAACAGGCAGAGAGACCCAAAGGCTTCAAAAGCCACTCGCCTTCTGCCTGCAGGGGACGTTCATCTCTGTTCAGGCGTCTTTGCTGGGGATGACACAGGGCAGACAGCCGCCTCACAGGATGGGTATATATATATATATATTTGCTTCTCCTCCATGCTCCGCCACTCCACCTTCAGTGGGGAGAGAAGCTGAACTTGCCTGGTAGCGCAGTCCCTGCATGCAGCCCCTGCCCCAGATGAAGCCCCTCACAAGCCAGAGTGAGCAGAAGCGTCAGAGAAGGCCCCCTGTCAGTGATTTTAGTGACTGGACTCGGATTCTACAGGAAGGAGTCTGGTGTTCCTCTGGGACCCATATTCAGGGCTCACAAGTTGCCTAGTCTGGAGTAGAGGGACCCCCTGTGGGCCACTGCCCTGACGGGAGGCTGCAGATTGCAGCACCTGGAAGCCCTTCCAGGCCCTCAGCAGGTTCCTGCGCCCTCTGCCTGTCAAGCAGGGAACTGCTGGGGTGAGAAGGCAAGGCAGGCCCTGCGCCTGGCCTTTTCCGGGGTGAACCTCCGTGTTTTCAAGTGCTCCGTTTCTTTTTCTTGTTCTAGAAAATGAAGGTCATGAACCTTGACCCTGGTTCCTTTCTTCCCAAGACTATAGATCTTTCTTCAGGCAAAACCCTCCCCCTTTCAAAATTCTCTCGCTTCTAAGCTAAATCCACTTCTTTGTTTCCCTTCTTTGTTTCCTCTTTGCTTTCAGATTATGCTGGTACCGTTGGAAAAAAAATGCCAAGCAGGAAACGGGCCTCTTGGTTCTGCATAGCAGAAGCCGAGCAGGCCCCATTGAGCAGAAACCCTTTGAGTGGGTCTGTGTTCCCAGGGACCACCAAGCCAGTTCCACTAACGCACCAAGTAAAAAGCTGAGCCAGAAGCTCGGCTTCAGGGGTGGGGATGCGGTTGGGGGGTTCTTGACATGTTTTCTCATGTCTTTGCTGTTATTATCGATATCCCTTGCCATCTTCTCCCACGGGTTCTGCCCATCTTGCAACTGGCCGCTAAGCAGTTCCATTGGTATATTCCTTTGCCTAACAGGCACAGCCGGCCTCATCTGTCTCCCTCCCTCCCTTGCTCTGCACAGCGCCAGAGATCCTTTGGGTGTTGGGGGAGAATCCGGAGCCTTTTCTGCCTTTGTCATAGGAAACATTTTAAGCAAAGGCAGCACAGGATGCTGGGTGTGGCCATTGCACTGTGTCTCCTGAACACCTCTGTGGACAGGAGCCAAATACTGTACTTCCAAATTGGGGTTTTGGGAAGCAAAAGGAGGGCAAGTGTCATTCCTTTTTCCTGAATGCTTTCTCCACTTTCATCCATGGGATTTACCAGTGCTCTCCTACCCAAGCCTTAACCAGATCCAACTCCACTACGTTTTTTCAGGATCAGCCCAGGCTGACTAGGAGCTGTGGGGCAGTGCTGAGTTGGTGTCCTCTTCAGCAAGGAAGATTCTTCCCCTCCCCACCCCACCCCACCCCCAGATCTCCTGCCTGAGCTGAGGGTGGGTGAGAGAAGGCTGCAGTTTCTGAGACACCTCTGGATACTTCTGGAACTTGGTATCTCACCTCCCCAGATCAAAAAAAAAAAAAAAAACCACCAACAACAAAAAAAACCCAACAACCCCATAAAAAGCCATGGAAGGTGAATCAGCTGCCTTTCTGCTTCTTTTAAGAGATGCCTGTTTTTTTTTCCTTGTCTTGCATGGCTGGCAGGAGGATATGCCAGCTGCTGATTATGTCAGTTGTAGTTCACCAGCCCCGCAGGGACCTCCACTGGGAAGCCTGGGCCTGGAGATGTATTGTACCTGAGGCCATCAATTGCCAGCAAGGACCCTGCTCCCCTCCGTTGCCTGCTGGTCGAGGGATCTGTGCGCCCAGGTTTTCATGCGCATCCCCGTGCAATTCAGCATCCCAGCCAGAGGACGTCCAGAGCAGTTGCCTTGGTGACGGTAGGGAAGAAAGGGCGCCTGGGAAGGGGGTAGATGACACACATCGGGAGGGAGGGAGAGGAAGAGAGATCGGGCTCGGAGCTGAGCTAAATTTAGGAGGAAGCCGAGGAGGAGGAGGAGGAGCAGGAGGAGGAGGAAGTGGGCCCGAGCGTCTGGGTCTGGGCTTCACCCCCCGGCCAGGGATGTCCTGCGGGCGGCGGACGAGATGAGTGTGCGAGGCGGAGCCGCTGCAATCGCCCAGTCCGGAGCGCGGAGCCGTTTCAGCACCACCAGGTGAGAACAGCTCCAGCCCATTGCTGGCGCGGTCGGGGAGGGGGAGGGGGAGGGGGGAGGCTGGGGTCCCTGGCGGCTCTGCCCGAGCGGGGGGCTTGCGTGTCAGTCCTTCCTGTTCCGGGGGCTTCTGAGGTCCCCCGATTCGATGGAGCCTTCTTTTCAGGAATCGGGGCAGAGCTGAGTTCTGGCGCCTTCTGGTGCGTCCTTCATTGGAATAGCAATTCCGTTGGATAGGCCGCCTTCGGTCAAATTTGGAGGAGGGGATTTGAATATAGGTGCGCTCTCCCGTATTATTAATCTAAAACGTGTGTTGGGCTTGTAAAACAGCCCTGTGCAGTAGGAAGAGGGGGAAAAATCAGCAGCTCTCTCTATGAACTTTACCAGGCATTCTTTTCCATATGAATGTCAACACAGTTATTACTCTTCATCTTATTTCCTAATAAAAACATCCTTAGGCTAAATAAATGATATTTCACACCAACTCAGGAGATGCTCAGCCTCCAGAGCCAGAGGGATTTGGAGCCTGCTAGGAGGCTGGAGGCAGGCCTGATTATTAATAGGCTGATTGCCTGCAGGCTCAGCTCAGCACAGGGGCCATCCTGTGGGGCCCTGGCACAAGGGTTGAGTGTGTGGAACCGCTGTTGGCCAGTAGGATCCCCACCCAGGGCCTGTGTCCTCCAGAGGGAGAACAAAGTACCTCAGCTAACCTCTCTGCCTTCTCTTCTGGCACATGAGGGAATAGATGGGACCAGTAAGGCAGAAAAAACAGTGGGCTTGAGGTTGGGGGCCATGCAGAGCAGCCAAACTGCCCCCCCCCCCATGAAAACACAATTCTGCCCCCTTTTTCTGATAGAACATGTGGCATATGGAGGTCCATCACTCAGCAAGTTTACACCTGCAGCTGCCAACTCACTCCGTGCCCTCAGGGGAGAAAGGGGGAGATAAATAGGGCTTCATGAACGTTCCCCCCACCCAGTCCAGGAAAAATGGAAATGGATCTCACTAGGGCAGAGAACACGCCCTTGTCATTATAGCAGCCAAGCAGATTCTCTTCTACGGTCCCTGAACTAGAGGAGAATCCTGAAACATTTTGTAGGCTACCCCCTCTCCTTCCGACAGACAAACCCCAGCCCTGGAGTTCCACTTAGCCTATCACAACAGGATTGTCCTCTTTCTTCTCTGTGGGTTTGCCCGATTTCCACTTTATACCCAAGAAGCTTGTCTGAAAGCAGGTGTCGATCGGCCCGTTCAGAACCTGCGACCCAGCAGAGTCTCTAGATAAACTGAATTCAAGGAGGAGGGTGTGTTCCTGCCACACCCAGCCTTCTTTTTCTCTCTCCACCGGAATCTTTCAGACAGGCTCAAGGGTCACTCCCCACCCCCACCCCAAGGAAACAGCCTGGAGGATATTTACAGAGGAGGAGAACCTTTGCTCATTTAAATGGCGCAACATCAATCAGTTTTACAGTGTGGGCACTGTTTAAAAATAGCCCGCCTCTTAATTGGAGAAGGCCATCTGGGTAGTTTCTCAACTGCTGGAGGTGCCCTCCGCCTTCCCTTCTCCTACTTGCCTCGCAGGAAGTGTGGCGACAAGGGCTGACCCTGCAGCAGAACAGCCTAGCCCAGCTCCTGAAAAACAACAGACTGAGCAAACATCCACCCTCCCCCCCCCACCCTTAGGCCCTTAGACACTGGCAGGATTTGCTCCTTGCTCTGCCTCTGCTCTGGACTCCCAAACCATCTGCAGGTTTTGAAATGCTCAGCAAAAATGCACGAAAGGGCTGTGTGCATGGGATGGGTGGGGTCTGTGCTCTGTTTGCTTGCAACTGTGCAAAGCCAACATGCATGGTCAGCTGATGAGTCCATGTTTTGCACAAACCCAGAGGGTGTGTTTCTGGCAAGGGCAAAGTTCACCCCACAGACACCCAGAAGCCTCCTGGGAACATGGTCCAACTCTCAAACTCTGCTTCCCAAGTGGGCGCCCTCCAAAAGGGGTCACCACCACCCCTCTTTTCACACACACCACAACCAGCCCAGCCATGGGTTTTAATTTGATATCCGCTCCCCAAAGCAGCTTAGTAATGCTCAGTTTTGCCCCAGAGAAATTCTTCCTGTGGGCTTCCTCCGTGCTGCCCTCCTCACTCTGGGCTCCGGCTTGGCTTTGCTTGCAGATCTGGAGGCCGCCCGGCACTACGATGGCCAAAGACAACCCGGCTTTCTCTGCCATCCCCAAGACCCCCGTCTCTGAGGGCAAAGCGCCCCTTCCCTCACAGCCGGTCAAGTCGGCGGCCTTGCGGCGCCTGGGCGAGGGCCCCGAGAAGGCCGAAAAGAAGCGTGGGCGCCAGCGCTACGTGGAGAAGGACGGCAAGTGCAACGTCCAGCACGGGAATGTGCGGGAGACCTACCGCTATCTGACCGACATCTTCACCACTCTGGTGGACCTGAAGTGGCGCTTCAGCCTGCTGGTCTTCATCCTGGCCTACGCCGTCACCTGGCTCTTCTTCGGCCTCATCTGGTGGTTCATCGCCTACTGCCGGGGCGACCTGGACCACCTGGGGGACGATGCCTGGACCCCCTGCGTCAACAACCTCAACGGCTTCGTCTCGGCCTTCCTCTTCTCCATCGAGACCGAGACCACCATCGGCTACGGGCACCGGGTCATCACCGACAAGTGCCCCGAGGGCATCGTGCTGCTCCTGCTGCAGGCCATCCTGGGCTCCATGGTGAACGCCTTCATGGTGGGCTGCATGTTCGTCAAGATCTCCCAGCCCAACAAGCGGGCGGAGACCCTGGTGTTTTCTTCCCATGCCGTCATCTCGCTGAGGGACGACCACCTCTGCCTCATGTTCCGGGTGGGGGATCTGCGCAACTCCCATATTGTGGAGGCCTCGATCCGGGCCAAGCTTATCAAGTCCAAGCAGACCCAGGAAGGGGAGTTCATCCCTCTCAACCAGACGGACATCAGCGTGGGCTTCGAGACGGGCGACGACCGCCTCTTCCTTGTCTCCCCGCTGATCATCAGCCATGAAATCAACGAGCAGAGCCCCTTCTGGGAGGTGTCCAAGGAGCAGCTGCGGAAGGATGAATTTGAGATCGTGGTGATCCTGGAAGGGATGGTGGAGGCCACAGGTAGGTGGGGGGGGGGGGGCGGGGGGGGGGGAGTCTCTGGGCTCCCTGCCTGGAAAGCTGCCAAAAGAGGCCAGGGATGCAGAAGCAGCTTTCTGAAGGGGGGGCAGGGAGGAGAGCTGGCCACTTCAGCACAGGCGTGCCCCCTTTTTCAAGCCAAGGCGTTTTGTCTTGGTTCCCCCACCCCCAGCCACTCCTAGCCATGTGCCTGTGGTTGTGTGTGTCCCATCTTGGCCCTCCATCAAGACGGCTTTGGAAAGAGCCCCCAGACTCGGATGGGTATCAAAAGAAGGGTCCTTCCCAGTAGGTTCAGGAGAGCAGAATTAGGATTACACGGACATATTAGAAATGAATGTTTATGAACTGGAAGCTCGTCCTTGTCCTGCTCCCCCTACCCAAATGTTGATTCCCCTCCAGGGATGACGTGCCAAGCCCGGAGCTCCTACCTGGTGGACGAGGTCCTGTGGGGACATCGCTTCATGTCGGTCCTCAGCTTGGAGGATGGATTTTATGAGGTGGATTACAACAGCTTCCACCAGACCTTCGAGGTGCCCACACCCAGCTGCAGCGCCCGGGAGATGGCAGAAGCTTCAGCTCGCATGGACGCCCACCTCTACTGGTCCATCCCCAGCCGGCTGGATGAGAAGGTGGAGGAAGGGACAGAGAAGGGGGAGAAAGAGAGGAACGGGAACCTCACTGCCACCGAGAGCGAGTCCAAGGTCTAAGCGACCGCTGGACGGGCAGAGCGAGCCAGAAAGCCTGGGCTATGGCACAAGGCGCCCAGAGGGGGCAGGGGAGCCGTCTGGGCAAGTGAAGCCCTCTGGCCGGTTTGACCTTGGGGGTTATCAGCACAGACTGTGCAAGAGAGACTCAACAGAGAGAAGCTGTTCCTGAAAGCGCCCGTGGGCAGGAAGCTGGCAACTGAAGCCATCAGGAGGCAACGTGGAACTGGAAACCATATTCAATGGGGGTCCAGACCCATTGCTAGGAAAGACGAGGCCTTTGGAGGGGAGCGGGGCTCCACAGATGCGCCCTTGTGGTTTTCTCAGCACTGAGACTGAGGGGGCTTTGGCCCTTCCTGCTTCCAGGGCTTCCCAGCCAAGCCCCGAGTGCAGGTGGTCTCCCATGCAAGCCCGAGCCGGACCTGACCCTCCTTAGCTTCCTGAGCTCAAACGGGGGAAGAGACTCAGTGCAACAAAGGAACAGCCTGGGGGGCAACTGGGGGACGACGAGGAAAGGTGTGAAGAGGTGGCTGCACAAACAAGGAGGCAGTGAAGACAATCGGTCAGGACCATGAATGCCCTGCCTGCTCTCCTTGCCCCCCCCACCTGCTCAGCTCCCACCCCCACCCCGGGAGACCATGTGGTTTCCAAGCGGACACTTTTGCACAATGTAGGCAATGGTTTTTTTAAAAACACTGCACAGTTCGCTTTGGGCATGCCAAAGACCACGGAGACCCCAGGGGGATGTCGGGAGAAATGTGACCCCGCCCAAAGCCCAAAGCCCCGGGGAGCGGCTGAAAATCTCCTTTGCCAGAGTTGGGGATGGGGGCCCCCAAAGAGACCGTTTCGATTAGCGAGTTTTCTCCGCCCAGCAGACCCCGCATGGCTGGCTGTTTCCCCCACAGGACAAGAAAAGGGGGGGGGTTGATTTATGATATGGATTAAGAGGTATATCAACATTCCATATTTTGAAATAAACCTTACTAGATGAGTTGTGCAACCAAGGAATTGTGCGTCTGCATATATTTGCATATGAAACTCAAAAGCCCGAAGAGGGTCACCCAGAAGGTTTGAAGCCCAGAAAATGGACACAAGGGTGGCGTATTGAACATTTGTGGGCTCCCCTTGTATCAGGGGAGCCAATGAAACCTGGAATAGATTTTACTTTCAAATTGTTACCCACCATCCCACTCTCATTCCTAAGATTCCGAAGACCCTAAAGGGGCCTTTATTTATCCCTTTTTCTCTCCAAAGCAGCTGAGACAGTTGGCTTACCTCACCACCTTCCCCACAAGGCCCTATGGCAGATTGGGGAGAGGGGGAGAAATGCCTCCCCAGCGCATGGAATGAATGGGACTTGTCTCTTTTCCTCCCTTATGCTCAAAACTAGGCAGATCTTTTTGGAAACCGGCCTTCTTTGGCAAAGGAAGATGCTTTACAGGACAGTTTACACTGGAAAACGGGGTTGGGGGGTGTGGATTTCCTAAAAGCCAGTTAAGCATTTTGAGCAGCCCTTCACAGCTGTGGTTTTGCTGCCCTGCAGCGCCCCCTCTTGCTCCTGGCCAGGGAAGGGTAGTGCAGCTCCTCCAAGGGTCCCCAGAGCAAGAGATCGGGCCAAAAAGCCATGATGGGGCCAAATTTGGGGAGACCCCCCCATGGCCCCAAAGCCCTTTTAAGGAAATTCTAGGCCTAGAGGGTTCAATCAACTCCCTCATACTTAGACGCCTCTGTGAGTAAATGGCAGCCCAGAATCCGCCTCGCTTCCCCTTCAGAGGAACAGAGCTGCCCCTTCAGATACTGCTCGGCAGTTTTCTCCCAGTGCCCTCTGGATGCCCAGGAGCTCAACTCCCATAGTTCCCAGCCAGCCTGTTTCAAAGCTGCCTCCCTGCCCTATTCTGCCAGATCTTGTGGCCCCTGCATCTAGGCCTTCAGAAAACTTGACAGAAAACTTGGAAGTGAGTCTGCGGTTCACGTTTTTATTAAAACCCCATTTGGCCCCATGAACATTTATTTTCAAGTTTGAGAGCTTCTCCCCTCCCTGGGTTGGGAGGGCCTGGCTGGGCAGGTCTCACCCTCTTCCCTCTGAACTGGGTAGCGAAGGGCAAAAGGGCACGTACAGAAGACGCCTGTAGGATGCCAGGAGCCCAAAGCCACTCTCGCTGGACAGGCACTGAGCTGTGGGCACAGCCTGGCCTTTCCTGCTGGCAACGGAATTTGGAAGGGGAGCCAAATAAGGGTCTCCCGCTTGCATGCACATACAACTCACACACAACACAAATGACTTCAAGATGACTTGCTTCCTTTGATGGCACCGCTGCTTTCCTAGAGAAGTCCAGAGGTGCCTGCTGGGATTGAGTGCTTGGGACATTTGCAGAGAGGGGCAGAAACAAAGCACCCACCCACCCCGGCTGGAAACAACCCAGCTGGTGGACACAGAGCTGCTCTTCTTCAAAAGCCAAAAGATGTTGGTTGCTCTGCTCCGGCCCTTCTGCTGTGCGGCCTCCATGGTGCCCGGTTCCTCCGCTGGGTGCAGCCTGTTGCTATGGCATCTCCCTGTGCCCATCAGGGACTCCGGCAGCAACTTTGGCACCAGGAAACCAAGGCCAGGGGAGGGGGAGGCTCAGATCCTCAGGAGGCCAGGCGTGGGATGGAATGGTGCCCCTGATCCCTCAAGGGGTTCATCCGGCACAATCCGGGTGTTGGGAGATGGCCTTCAGGTGAGTCTCCAGGACGCTCCGCCAGAGTCCAAACGGATGGAGCCAGAAGACATGGCTGCCTTGTTGAGCAGGAAGCAGCCACCAATGTTGTTAAGCAGGGCAGCAGCAAGGTCTGCAGATGGAGGGGAGGGGGATGAAGGGAAGTCCATCTCCACTGGCCCTCAGGCAAAACGAAAACAGACACAGAGCGGAGAGATTTGGCTGAGAAGGAACCATCTTGGTGACTGGCAAGATTGCAACGCTATGCAGGAAACAACAGAAAGAAGAGACGGGTCAGTCAGATGGGCCTAAAATACCCACTGCCTCTTGGGATGGAGGAGTGGCAACTGGCTGAGGCTCTCCTAAATTTTGCCCCCAGAAAGCAGCCTCTGGCAACATCCCTGGAACCGTCTCCGGAAGCCACGGAAGGAGTTCGCTTTAGCCCTTCGGGGGGGGGGGGGGGGGGCTCCTTTTGACGCAAGCCTCTTCTTGGGGCTGCCTGGTCAGCTGCCCCCTATGCTCGGCGGATGGCCCTGCCACGATTGATTGAGCCCCTCTTCTCACAACACCCCCCACTCCACACACACACACACACACACACACACACACACACACACACACACACGCAAGGGAGACCTGCTCACCTCTGGGGTTCACCTCTTGCGCAGCCTGGCCATGAAGCAGCAGGTGACTGAGACCAGGATGGAGACCCCCAGGAGGAGGGCGCTGGAGATGCCGACCGCCAGAGGGATGAGGAGGGTGTCCATGGCTGAAGAAGCAAGGGAAGGAAGGAAGGAAGGAAGGGCATCAGCTCTTGGGAGCAAAGGCCGCCTCTTCATGCAGGGGAGGGGTCGAGAGGAAGCGGGGCCCAAAGCAACGGAAGACTCGAGGCCGAAATGGCCCGGGCTCTACTCACCCAGCGGATACGGGTACACAGTGACCACATTGGACTTTACCGAAGCAGCCTGATACCAACTGCGGTCGGGGAAGCGTACCCAGGCGGTCACAGCGCAATAGTAGCCCCCTTCATCGGTCGGCTGGACCGTATGCAGGCGCAACCGGTGGCTCTGCGGCCCCACTTTATCCACGCTCAGGACCCCTCCAGATGGCGGCTTCTCTAGCTGCGCCACCCCCTCACGGTCCACGGAAGCCAAGATGACCCCGAGAGGGGATGAATCCGGCTGTGGCAGCTCTGCCCACCAGCTGAGGGACAGGTGGACATCCTGAGCCGATTCCACGGAGACGTTGCACCGAACGTCGGCTGTGCTGCCACGGTAGAGGGTGGGCAAGGGCAGCCATGCAACGGCCCCCAGCACCACCGCTGTGGGGAGAAGGAGGCAGTCTGAGAAGGGGGCAGGAGCCCTTCCCACCTCCCACTGGTGCAAGAGCTCAGCATAGCATTCCTACAACGGGGGGAGGTCATCGCTAAGAATTCCAGCTGGGAAGGAAAGAGGGGCTCCTTCCTCTAGAGGCAGATTTAAGAGAGTCATGGCATTAGTTATCATGCATGTCATTATGGGATAGTGGGCAGCGCTGACAAGACAAATGGACTGTGGGGAACGTTTCCATCTTCTGCTTCCCTTAATCAAAGCAGGTAAAGATCCCTTTTCTGCCACCCAATTTTTAAAATCACTGAAGAAGTCTCAAGAAATCCAAGAAACATGGAACAAAATGCAGAAGCCAAGATAAATTCATGGTAATTCAAGATAAATTCATGGTAAGTCAAATGCCCTTTGAGCCCAACCCTAAATTTGAGTGGTGAGTGAAGTGGGGGGTCTCTTTCTTGGCACAGAGTGCTCCTAAAATCCTTCTGGGGGCCCACAAGGCCCAAACAGCAACAATGTCGAATGAGGGAAGAGCAGCCCATAGAGGCCTCTGGAATTTGGCAGGTTATTATGATGATCCGTCTCTCTTTTTTGATTGGATGGACTCAAATTATGGTTAATTACTGTGGAGTTATTTAAGTCTTTTGCCATGTTCCAGAGGCTCTACAGCCTCCGGGAAAATTTGATCTCTGTAGATCCCAGCCAAAGAGAAAACCAGAATGGCTCAACCGCTGCATCAGATCCGGGACCTTTGCGCACCTCTTGGGAAATTAGTTTAGCTGGACCGGCAGTGAAAAGAGCCTTTAAAGGGACAGACAAGGACCCCGCTGGCCCTCACTTGCCCCTGCCCCCAAAAGGCTATGGGGCCCAAGTTAGCTCGGTGGGGGAAGAGGAAGGGCTACCTTGGGACTTGACCTCCACGCTGATCACCTCGGAGCTCAGGGTGGCCAACGGACGCAACTCTGCACTTGGAGACCGCAAAAAGGCCTGAACCTCACAGCGGTACGAGCCCATGTCTGCCGGCTGGGCCGACTCGATCCGCAGCAGGAAAGCTCCCAGAGGGGAGGCCAGCTTCTGCAGAGAGACGTGCCTCGTGCCCACGTTGCGGTTGGTATAGTTCTGGCCCAGGACAAGCCCACCACTGGCCTCCAGCCGGGCGACGAGATGCCCCTCCCCGGCAGCCTCCTTCCTCAGCTCCCAGCTGACTGCAAAGGCAACGTGGGGCAGGAGGAGGACGGGGGCTCCGGAAATGTTGCAGAAGAGCTCCAGGGAATCTCTGGGACTGAGCAAGGCTCTGGGGGGGCCGGCAGACACCAAGAACTGGTTCGCTGGAAGCAAAGCACAGGGAGAAAACGGGGTCACGGGCTCAGAGGTGGGGGACCACGGGCCCCTCCCTGTCCATGACGGTCCCACATGCGTCCCATCCCACTGATCAGCTCCCCATGGTACCCGCAGAGCAGGATGGCCTCCAGGCCCAACAGGCAGAAGGGAGGGAAGGGAGAGACGCTGGCAGGCTGGAAAAGCCTGGTGCCAATTCTGAGGTTGGAAGGCCAAGAGTTTATGAGGGATGCCCAGCAGGGCCCCTTTAGGGAGACAAGAGTGCCCCCCTGGGAAATGAGGGCTCTGTGAGCCCCTCTCCCCCCCAGGCTATAAAGGGGTGTTTGGGGCAGGAGCAAACCCACCTATGCTTTGAACGGAAACATCAGCCAGGGCTACCCGCTTCTCAGTGATCTGCTGCCAGCTGCCATCAGGATCCTGGATCCATTCCCCGGCAGCGCAGTGATAGGTCCCGGAGTCCTCTGGCCTGAGCCGGTCCAGCGCCATCTGGTATTTCCAGTCGCCCAGCTTGACCAGGGAGAGCTCCCGGGCCAGGCGCCGTGGGGCAAAACGCCCGGCTGCCTCTAGGGCGAAGTCCCGCCGAAGCCCAATCACCTCATGCTGCAGCCGGGGACTGCTGGGCGCGGAGACGGTGAAGGAGGCCGAGAGGTGGGTGTGCAGCTGGGTCCCGGTGGACACGGAGCAGGTGAGCAGCAGGTCCTGGCTCTCCAGAAGCACCAACTGGGGAGGGGGAGCAGCCCTCCAGCCCCAGAGAGCGGGCTTTGCATCAGAGGGAGGGGCAACAGAGACAGAGAGCTGGTCGGGGATAACTGCGGGGGGGGGGGGGGGGCAGAAGGAAAGGGATGCTGTCAGTTCTGCAGAGCCAGGGGTGGGAGCCCCTTCCCACCATCCCCCTGGAAGGTGAGCCAGACCAGCAAGGGGTTCTCCTTCTTCCCAAACCTTGATTCCACCCAAGATGAACCTAGCAGCCAGTCCGCAGTCAGTTCCTGGGGGCTGGACCCTGCCCCACGCACCTTGGGGTTATAATGCCTCGGTGGTGCAGTGGACTAAAGTGCTGTTAAGTGCTAGCACTTAAGCTGCCAGCTGCCTGCAATTAGTGCAAGTTCGAATCTCACCAGGCTCAAGGTGGACTCAGCCTTCCATCCTTTTGAGGTAGGTAAATTGAGGACCCAGATTGTGGGGGCAACAAGCCAACTTTGTATAGAACAACACCGCTTGGGGGGGGGGCGAAAGCCCTAATAAGCAGGTATATACAAAAAAGTATGCAGGCTATTGCTATAATGCATTGTAAGCCGCCCTGAGTCTCTGGAGAAGGGCGGCATATAAATTGGACAAACAAACAAACAAACAAACAAATCATACCTCTGACCTCCACCTTAGCACTATAGGTGCCCTGGTATTTGGAATCCGTGGTAGGTGTGTAGCACTCGTAGACCCCCGTGTCCTCCATCCGAATCGCCCTGACACGCAGTTCCACAACATCGCCCCGAACGCGCAGGATGGAGACGTTGCCAGCCTGCACCCGGGTCCCAAAAACAGCGTAAGGGAAGTTGGGGTCTCGCGTGCTGACCATGCCGATGGAGATGTCAGGAGCCGACGGGCGATACAGAAACCACTCGAACTGTTGCAGAGAAGGACCCTCGAACTCAGAGACGTTGCAGGGAATGGCGAGGGTGGTGCCTTCCACGCGGTACAAGGGCCCCGGGGGCAGGTGGACCTTCCTGGCACCGCTGAGCTGGGCTGTGCGGGCAACGAGAGGCGGGTTAGCCAAGTGGCTCCATAGTTCCGAGTGACAGGCGAACAGAGCAAAGGAGGCCGAGTGCCTTGGCTGAGGAGGGGGCCCATCCCACCACGCTGGGGCTCTTCCAAGGGCCCAGCTGGAGTGGCAGGGGTAGGGCCTTTGCAAACTGCACATCAACCTGAAAAGAGCCCTAGAAATTCTTTGCAACCAGAGGCTGTCCCCAAAGGTAAAAAAGCTTCAGGAAAACCCTCTGGGCTACACTGCCTTTTGCAGGACTGCTGCTGCAAGGGGAGGTTCTACTAGAGACACCTTGGAAAATAACTGGGAGGCTCAGCCCACATCTGGCCAGCCATGCAACCCCTCCACACACACACAAGGCCCATCGAAGGAAAGGGACCTAATCCCTAATCCACATCCACATGCCGGTTCTCTGAACTACTCAACATTTCCGCTACGGGCTCTCCAGAACCTGTCAGAACCTGCTGGATCTCACCCCTGGCCTAATCCCCTAACAGCCTCATTAAGCGCAAGGAGTCCTCCTGGGAGCCTGGAGCCGGTGAGAACAGCAGGTGCAAAGGGCCTGCCCTCCCCTGGCACCTGGGCAAGCACTGGCACACTCCCCTGCCTTCCGCACCAGGGACTTGGCTTGTTTACTGGGTTTGCACGCAGCCTTCTCGGGCCAAGACCCAGCCTGGCTCCTCGCTCGCCTGCTCAGCGTGCAGGGAAGCAGAGTCGGGCACGGGGGGCTGCCGAGGACCCGGGGCGGAGTCGCGGCGTGTGCGTGGCCAGACTCCTGGGCTGTAGCGGGGAGGCCTGTGGGAGGACCTGGCTCAGCCCTCGAAAGCACCGCATCTCAGCCGGACGAGGCGCCTCGGGCGGCGCCTCCGGGGACGCACGCAGCCGGCGCGGGGCCGCAGGAGAGCGAGCCGAGGCCGCCTTCCGTCTCCCGCCTTGCAGGGGCCGCCCTTCCCGCCGCAGGACCCACCCGCGCCCCCACCGGCCCTTCCACGCACCGGCCACCGGCAGGAGGAGAAAGCAGAGGACGAGGAGGCGGCGGCGGCGGCGGCTCAGAGCCCGCGCGGGAGCATCCATGGCTGGCCGGGGAGGCGGCGGGATCCGAGCCGCGCGCGCAACGGTTCTGGCCTTAGCCCGGCGGGCCCAGGAGGCGCGGGGCTCGGCTGACTAGCCACGCCTCCGCCTCCGCCTCCGCCTCCGCCGCGCGCCCGCAGCGAAGAGCGGGGTCGCGCGCGCCCCAAGGGAGCCGTCCTGGGAGCCTGGCGCTCTGTGCATGCCCAGAAACCGCGCGCCTTCCCTCCCTCCCTCCCGGCCTCCCTCCCTCGGGGCAAACGGCCAAAGCGGACGGCGGCATGTGGGGGCGGGGGCCGGACCGGAGCTCCGCGGGATGCCCGGGTCGGGGGAGCCTTCTGAACGGTGCAACGGGTCCCGCGGCCCCCGGGGGGCGCCAAACGCCACCGCAAAGGCAGCGGATCTCCTGCAGGGACGAGGGACCCCCGCCAACATGCTCAGAAATCCAGGGGGACCCTAAATATATCAAAGCGGGTGGCGGCCGAAGGAGGGACGAAAGTCGGAAGGGACTCCGGTCCTTGGCGCCCTCAAAGTACTGTGTGGATTGTAACACGAAGTGTTGTCCGGGAACATTCGCCTGTGGAACTCATGGCCTCAAGGTGTGATTGTGGCCACCAGCTGAGCAGCAAAGAAAAAACGTAACCGGTATTCAAAGGCCACCTGACTCTGGCTGTCAGCCCCGGGCAACCCTGCTTGGCTCCCCCGAAAGTATCCCAAGAGAACGGACTAGAGTGGACCAGTTGCTCCAATTCTGCGCCAGCCCCCACAGAGCTTTGTCATAAGACTGGCCCACTGATCGGCCTTAGAATCAGAGACCTATGGCCAATGGAGACCTCTGCACCAAGGTTCTTTTAAGCCTCTCTCCTTCACAACAACCCTACGAGGGAGGCAAGATCAAAAGTTGCCCAACACCGAGTCTTGGCCAGACCCTGAGGAATCCTGCTGCCCCTGTGGGCGGCCCTTCGGAATCAGGCCCCCTGCAGGGTTATTGTTAGCAGCACCCAGACGGGTTTTCTTGGCTTGGGGGGGGGGAGACCCTGGACCCACCAGAAGGCCAGAGCCCTCTGCCCACCACCCCTTGTAGAGACAACTCAAGTTTGCTCTCTCTGGAGAGGGAGGGAAGGAGAGAGCTGTTCTCTCACAAAAGCTGGGCTGAGCTTTCACTCACGTGTGCGCACACACACACACACACACACACACACACACACAGAGAGAGAGAGAGAGAGAGAGAGAGACGAAAGGGCCTGTGGGGTTGGGTCTCTCAGGTCCCTTCCCTGCGGTGGACTTGGCGCTCTTTCACAGCAGCATTTATTTACACAGCTTGGGAAGAGGGGGGTGTATGTGGCGGGACCGGACCCCCTCCCAAGGCATTCTTTTCTCTCCAGCTCTCCCTCCCCCCCCTTCAGTCAGCCTGCAGCCTCTGCGTTTCCCAGGTTGCAGAAGTGAAGGCCCAAGGCCGCCATGTTCCCTTGACGATGGGAATAGTTTGCCCGGCAAAGATGCCCCACTTTCCACAGCAGAGAAGGGCTGAGGGGGCCCTGGGGCAGCCCCTGCCTGGTGCCAGACTGCAGCCGAGAGCCAGCTAGATGGGGCTGCCCAGCCCTCCCTGGAGCCTTCTGGCGAAGGGAGCTGTTTTCCCCCAAGTGGACAGGCTACCGGAGGCCTGTGCCGCCTCCCCTCCTCCCCCCACATCCCAGGAAGAGGCCTGGATCCCTCACGAAGAGGAGACAAAAGCCCCCCCCCCCGAGGAGGTTCAGGGGCAATTTCTAGGTTTGGGAGCAACAGTCACAATATGAAGCTGAGTCCTCGTGCTTGCTTCTAACTTGGAGCCCTCTGCACATGCTCACTTGCCACAAGCTGCCCTTGCCAAGGGAGGGTTGGCATCCAAGCTCCGGCTTTGGAGCTGCCCCCCTGCCTGGCAGGTGCAGTCGGGAGGCTTTGTGCTCCTTGCATCCTCCGTTTGGTTCGTTCACTCAGTTGACCCCGTCCTCTTTTCATTCCGGGCCGCTTGGGAACATTGGCAGGAGACGGGCTAATTGCTTTCATTGGCCTGCCAGGAATCAGGTCTCCCCCATTCCCCTCCTGGGTTTTTTCCATTCGGATTCCACAGCTTCCTCTCGGAATTACAATGGAGGCCCAGATCTGCTCCGGCTGAGCCCTTCCTCCACCCCACACTGGAACCCTCAGCCCTAGAAGGGTCAAGCGGGGGGGGGAAAATCCCTCTTCTCACAGAAGGAAACCTCAAGAGAAATGCGAGAAGCAAATATTTTGTCTTCCTTGACATAACATGGAAAGTTTTTGGGGGAGGGCACGTCTCCTTTCTTTCCATATTCACAGGGGTGTAAAGGAGCCCCCGTCTTCCAGCTGGGAATGTCATTCAGGCCAAAGAGAGGCTCTGGGCCCCTCCCTTTAGCCTCCCAAAGGAGATTTCAGCCTGGCTGGAGCCTCTTTGAGGAAAATGGGCGCAGGACAGCCGATCCATCAAAGGGAAAAGCGCTTTCCCCTCTTTTGGTGCTGGAAACTTGGATTTGGGGCAGGGAGACAGAAAACGTCGCCCAACTACAGAGTGCATTTCCATATACGCTCCCCTTTCCTGAAAAAAGGATTAGCTACTGTAAATAGCCTGGTCTTTGGGTGTTAAGTGAATTTCGTTGTATGGATATACTGTGTATACATGTACAATTACAATAAAGTTGTTATTATTAAATGCAGAGAGGAATATGAATCCACAGCTCCTGGGGCATCCTGCTCTCGCGCCCCCCCCCACCCAATAGAGTTTTTCCTGAGGCTCCGATGTCTGTGGAGGTTCTCCGTCACCCAGGCTGCCTGGGGTTTCTTTGTCTTCCCTTCTCATCCAAACAGCTGCTTCAGTTCTGGCCTGCCACCGTCTGGGCTCTGGGCAGGCAGCTCCTGGCCGAAGGAATGAGCATCTCTGGCAGGTTTTTCCGCTGACTCCGCAGGCCTTTGCGGGTCCTGGTTGCATAAACAGTGACATTTGGGGGGAGGGGGGGGCTCCTGCCAGGAAGAAAGCCAGAAGCCCAGGGCAAGGGAGCCGCTGGTGTCCGTCCGGCATGACTGTCCAGAACAAAACAGCAGGCGCTTCCGTGACCGGGATGCCTGGCCAAGTTTTGTGGGTCTCAGTGGGGAAGGATGAAGCAGAAAAACAAGTGCAGTTTTCATACTCTCCCAGCCCCCCCCCACCGCCCCACAACAAGTTTCCAGCCTCTGCTCTTGATACTCCTGCCTGACCTGCTCCTTCCCTCCCCCAGCCCCCCAGCCCACATTTTATAATGTAGGAAACCCAATCCCGATTCAGGAGGGGGTGGGCTGCCTTTGGTGCCCTCCTAGGCATAGGCCTTGAACCATCCCTACCATCTCCCCACTGGATTGCAGGAAGCCTTCTCCCATCCCCCTTGCCTCTTGCATGTGATCATCCTGCTGGGGCCACTCTGCTTGGCACAGAGCGACACAAAAGACAACAAAAACACTTCACACACAAAATGATCCTCCATCCAGGAGCACAAGCTGCTTTAGTAAAGGAAGGAGGCTGTTTTCCTGCCCTTCAAACACCTGCTCACAGCTTCCTGGCCGAGGCCTGCCTACAGTGCACAGCGAGGGACCATCGTCTTACTGGGAAACTGGCCCCGAGGGGCCCCGTGAGCAGTCTCTGATTTCACAAGGGCTCCAAAGCCTTGTGCAGCAGGGAAGGGCTCTCAAAATTCAACCCAGGGCATCCTGGTTCCCCAACAGCTGTGAAGCCGAGGGGAGCCTGGTTGGGTGAGGCTAAAAGGGCTCCACCCTCCCACCGCATCTCTGCAGACCCTCCCTGCCAGGGAGACCCTCTTTCCAAAGAGGGAAGGAAGGCCTGAGGCCGGAAGGAAAGGGGGAGAAGGTGGTACGAGCAGTTGTCAAATAGTTTGCAAATTCTTTGAGTTCATTTGCATCCAGTGGAATATTTGCTTGCTTGAAGTTTCATTTAAAAAAAGAAATGAAGTTTCTCTCTGGCAATTAGTTACACAAAAATGTTAACTATTTTCTAAAAGCAGCTGCACACCTGATACCTCCCCTCCCAAGTGCAGCTTAAAATCAAGGGCCCACACACTTGACTGAGACACACAAACACACCCACACAGCCCTCTCCGGGATGCACAGGGCATCAGAGTGTGAGTCGGGCCCCAAAATGAAATTTCAAAGGTTTTTCTTTTCTGCCCTCCAAAGGCATATTAAAAAGAGATTTGGAAATAAATAGCCGGGCCTCGCAGCTCCTGGAGCTAAATCCCTCTGGAGCAACAAGAAAGGTCGGCTTTCATTAAAGTCAGGAAAAGGTTATTCCCCTAGAGCTGCCTGGAAGCCTTCCACCCTCTTCTGCGCCTTCCTCCAGCCACGACCCCCCACCTCTGGGGCTGGCAGGGAGGCCCCCACGGCTGTCTGGCTTGCAGGGCAGCCATTCCAGAAGAGCTCCCCGCTTTTAGGCCAAGGAGGGCCACCCCGCTCCCCGTAGAAGCAGCCTTGAGGCCTCGGATGTGGCCAGCTCAGGATCTCTCAGGGGCCTTTTGCAGGTGGGGCCCCCTTCAAAACTTGCCCAGAGTTTTCCCCCAGCAACCCCCATTAATGGGGTGAAGATCTCATTTTCCTGGGCATTCAAGTTCTGGTCTTGCTCCAGTTTTCCTGCCAGATTGCATTAACTGAGAATGTGGTTTATCAGCGCACCCCAAGTTTGCAAACTGTGGTTCAAGGCTCAGCGTCCTGCAGAACCTTCTCAGAGCTGTTGGCCCACGGAAACACCAGCCTTTGGCCGAAGGAGGGGTGATGAACACGTCACTCACAAAGGGGAGGATGCCATCAGGTGCCTATTGTCGCACCCTCGATAAGACAAAGTGATTCAGAAAGGCTGTCACTTATCAGGAACCCCCCCCCCCCCCCCCCCCACCCCCCGATCAGGAATCCTCTGAAGCAGGCTCACAACTTAACACAAGAGAAGCAAAGCACAAAGCACAGTCGGAAAACCCTCTTCCACCCACCTGGTTCCAGAATGCCTGGTTTGGACCTACTGGGCAGGTTTCTGCATTCTGAGCTGCATAACAGC